GCATATATGTGTATATACATATATATTTTACATACGCTCGTGAGTGCTTAAGTGCTGAGTGCACATTGCTTTAACTTATACCAAAGTCATCCGATTATTATGTACAGTGGGGCGTCCTTTACGACGATAGTTGGGCGTCTAGTGCGCAGCTGAGTGCAAACATGTGTTGCACACTTTTGGGCCAGAGCCGAACTTAATTGAAAATTGTCAGAGCCAAGACACAGACAACAGCCGCCAGCGCGGAGCAGCGAGCGCGAGAGATGGAGTGAGATGGGGATGGGGGATGGGGATGGGAGATGGGGCGATGGGGGATAGCTGAGAGCACCATTTAACACTTGCGCCACCACAAGGCGACCGCTGAAACAGAACACAATTTGTAAAATTGGCCAATGCAATAAATATTTGAATTTATGGCTCAATTACCGATTCACTCCAAGCAGTTGGCCGCGCAGCTAATTAAAGCCAATTTTATTAGCCATGACATAAATGGCACAAATAAATATCAGCAAAAGAAATGAGCAAAAAATTAAAAAAAAAACTGTTATACTAAATAAATATGCAACTGCAATAAAAAACAACCAAGCATTGTGCTTAAATTTGACTATTATACAACTGTTATACCAATAAACTGTTGAACTAATTAAACATGCAACTGCAATATAATGAAATTCTTACGCTGGTTATGTATGCAAGTAAACTGTTATACTAAATATATGTAATAGACTGTGATTTCATATAGATTAGTTATACCATACACACTTTTTACTATATACAATATTTTACACTTTTCTTTAAATCAGCACTCATGCTAATTGTGGTTTGAAAAATAACTGTTATACCAAAAAATGTGTTATATTTGGCAATTATTCAGCTATTCTACAACAACTGATTGCTTTAAATAAATTATTATACTTAATAAATTTGTTATACTGTTATACAATATAAATGTGCAACTGATATACGAGGTATCTCTTATGCCCACTAGCTATACCAGTAAGCTACATTCAATAAAAATACTCATACACCATAAAATTCGTTATACTACTTACTATTCACAAATTATACTATATGTCGTCGCGTTACGTTTATTACCTTGCCTTCCATTAAAATTTTGCGTACCAACGAGAATCGCTTAATTCTTTCACGAAGCTCTTTCTTGTTCCATAGTCCTTGACCAAGTGTTTTTCTTTTCTCCTCTTTTGTCAAACCCTTTATTTCTGGTCGCATTTTCTTGTTCATCGAAATCATAGCAACTCTGTGCGAAGGAATTAACTAGCCGTCTCGCTCTCACTCAGTGCCACCTGGGCCCACGTTCAGCAACAGCTATAGCTGTCTCTCTCTTAGTGACATTGCATCCTTTAATTGTCGCTACAATACTAAATCAATCGATTAATACGACAGGTTTTCTCAACACTTTTGCGTCAAGAAATCCCATAGTACAAGTACAAATCCCTTCAACAAAAGCGTAATATCGCACCGATACGATACAGAGATATAGACCTTTACACATTCCTGTGCAATCAATATAATAATAATATAATATTATTCCGAACATATATATCACATTTCAAACTGTTATACAAAACGGGCTCATACTAAATAAATGTGCAGCTTAATATACGAAAGCTTTTCATTTTGCTTTGAGCTACACATAAATTGTTATACTGAGTAAATGTATTTTACAAAATAAATGGGCTATATATGTACAACTGTTATATAATATAGATTTTTATATTTTTTACATGTATTCTTCTATCGTATCGAATTTGTGGTGAAATATGCCTTTTCATCCCATTGTGCTTTGAGAGTTTGACGTCTAAATTCATCTAGTAGGCCTTGCTTCTAGGCTCACTCTTTTCTCCTTTGAAAGCAGCACCAAATCTGAATCACTTCGATTGTGAAAGTCTTACGAGGCGGTTGTGCTAAGAAAATCGAATTAAATTGAAAAAATAAAAAATAAAAATTTCCAGAAATTTGTGAATTGTGAAAAAAAGCTGAAAATAATTGAAAAGTAAAACTAATTTCGCGAAAACCAGTGAACGATTAGTGTAGAATGATGCCGGATATCGTCGAGGATCACGTTGCTGTGGAGGATGGAAAGGATAAGAGCAAGGGGCGCATGAACTTGAAGGTTATGGCCGTTGACTTGGACACAACTGGACGTCGCCTCTGCGACAAGGTGAGCAGCTGGGAGGGAGGGGGGCACTCTGAGCTCTGTGCGTGACATTGTGAATGGCAATTGTGAATTTTGCAGATATTCCAGTTGGCCGTATTCTCGCCATTCGGGCGCTACGAGCAGTACATGATGCCGGCCATAAATCTGAACTCGGCTGCGCGTCTGCGCCATCAGGTGCGTGTGACTCGCCTCAAGGGGCGCCGTGTGCTCAAGACAATGCTAACCAATAAGGTGGGCTATCCAAATGGCATTCCATTGCAATTCTCCCCTTTGCCAACGATTCACATTTCATGCTAAATATTTGAATAGATCATCAAAACGGAGTCTGAGCAGTCGGGCTTCCGTAAGTTTGTCGAATGGCTGCAGGAGCAGAGCGCCCTCACATCGGGCATTGTGATTGTCTATCACGAGGAGCGCAAGTTCATACCACTGATGATATTGCAGTCGGTTATCAAGTTCAATTTGCTGAAAGAGTTCGGCAAGATGGTCATCGGCTTTGTCAATACCAACGAGATAGCCAAGTCAATGCTCAGTGGCAAGGCTCGCTCATACCTGAGCGTGCGCGGCCTGCTGGCCGTCCTGGCCAGGGAGAAGGGCGAGGAGGTTTACACCAAGGAGTTCACTGGCAGCGCCAGTGTTCGCGCCAAGCTGGTGTTCAATGTGGCCGCCGAGCTGTGCGACCGTGAGCCGACCATCACCCATCTGTTTGCTGTCTTGAAGCCCCATCTGGAGACGATTGACTCGCTGGTCTTGGAATTGGACCAGGGATATGCAACACTGAAGCGTCAGAACTCGTTTCGTCCGTTGTTCGTGAACTACTTCAAGACCACGGTGCAGCGTGTTCGCGCCGTCAAGTTTCGCATTGCGCTCGCCGAAAATGGTCTCGATTTGACCATCTTGAGCGACATCTGGAAGGACTTGCGCATCCAGGGACTCATCACCACACTGGAGCCCATCGGCCGACTAACCGACAGCGAGAAGACCGAGCTGGTGGCCGTCTTGGACAGCTACTTCGATCCCAACAAGATCGCCCTCAAGCCGAAGCCCAGGGAGCAGGCCAGCTCTCGCCGTCGTCGCGCTCACAACAATTCAAAGGCCTCGCCAGCCGCCGCCGATGCCGCCGCTGATGCCGATGCCGACAATCAGCTGGACGAGGTCCCACCCTCGCCCTACACCTCGACACCCAAGGGACAGGCACCGAGTGCCGAAAATAACAATAATCAAATCAACACTAACAATGACAATGACACCAACAATGAGAACACAATTGACTCTAACACTGACAATGACGAAAATCCGCAGCGTCGCACTCCGCGTCGCATAATGCTGTCGCCTGACAAAGTGTCCCAGGATGGGGCCGTAGCCATAGGACAGCCTCTACAGGAGAACAAGTAAGTTGAATAGACGTCTTCGTTAACACTCCATATCATTAATCATCATGTTATATGATATACAGTGTATAGTTGATATATATGGTATATATGTTATATATGATATATATGATATATATGTTATATATGAGATATATGATATATATGGTATATGTTATATGAGATATATGATATATGTAATATATACGATATACATAGAATATATGATATATATGCATGTTATACACTGCGCGTCATCAGGTTAGCGCCCCCCTTTACACTCAACCTCAAAGCTAAATAAAATCTAAACCATCAGAGCTACATCTTTGAAATTTTTTTACATTATACTCCATTTATTTCTCTTTAAAATACAAAAAGAATGGCTACTGTAACAATAAGGATTATTTTTAAATAATTTTTTTTGCAAAATGTACAAAAAACATGTAACAAAAATTTGGTCATCAGATTAGCGCCCCCTGCGCTAAATTCAATTTATTTAAGTTAATGACCAAAAATAACACCTGTATTTTAAGCTATTGTTATTTTTAAGTAATATTAGTAGTGCGTAGTGCCGTTTTTTGTTTGAAATTACTT